CAGCCATCAACCGTTTATTAAGTGTCTAATAGGTGCCATGCACTGTACTAACTGCTGGGGATAAAAAGAAAGGCAAATGTACTGTTCCATCCTCAAGAAGTTCACATTCGAATGGGAGAGATGACATATAAACATGTACAAGCAAGATATGTAGAGAATAAACAGATGGAAGGCACTGGACTCAGGAGGGACCAGAAAGCTACAAGGTAGAGTTGAGGGGGCAAAGCATTCCAAGCATGGAGGGCAGCCAGCGCTAAGGCACAAGTCTGGAGAGAGAGAGTTTTGTTTTGTTTTTTTGTTTGTACTAGGAATAGCAAAAAGGCCAGTTCCATTGGATTGTGAGTACATGAAGGAGAGTAAAATGTAAGAAGAATGGAAAAGTAGGAAAATGCCAGGTTGTAAAGGGCTTTACCTGCCAAACAGAGCATTTTATATTTGATTCTAGAGGTGATAGGGAACCATTGTAGTAGATTGACTTGGGAGGTAGAACATTAGATCTGTACAATAGGGAAATCACTTTGGCAACTGAATAGAGGATAAATAGGAATGAGTAGAGACTTGAGGCACAGAAACCGGTTAGAAGCTTCTTGCCATGCTCTGGGTGAGAGATGATAAGAGCCTATAGGAGGACAATGGCTATGTATGTGGAAAAAGAGGAGGATGATACTGAGATTGCTATTCTGGGTTACTGGGAGGTTAGGATGTTGGTTGGTACCTTAACAGTAATAAAGTTTGGAAGAGGAGGAAGGATTGGGGGGGGGGGCAGAATAATGGATTCTGTTTGGAATATATTGAATTTGAGATGCCTCCAGGGCACCCAGTACAAGATATCTAAAAGATTGTTGGGGTTGCAAGCCTAGAGCTCACAGTAGAGAACAAATGTGTGTAGATCTGGGAGTCATCTTCATAGAGATAAGAACTTGAACCTGTGGAGGCTGAGGCGACCACAGAATGAGATAGTATAGAAGGAGAAGAGAAGAGGGCCTGACACCGACTCTTGGAGATTCACCTGTAATTAATGGGTATGACTTGGACAGAGACCCTGAAAAAGACACCAAGAAGGAATTATCAGACAAGTAGGAAGAGAACCATTTCTCACATACACACACACACACACACACACACATCAGAAGAATATATATTCAGGTGGAGATGGTGAAGGCTACAACATGGTCAAGAAAGTTGAGGATTGAGAAGAAGTCATTAAATTTAACAACTGAGAAAACATTGGTGATTTTGGAGAAGGCAGCTGAATGATGAGGTTAGAAGACAAGTTGCAGAGAGTTTAGGAGTGAGTGAAACCAGCGGAAGTGAAAGTACCTAGTATAGACAGCTTTCTCGTTTATTTTAGCCACAAAGAGGAGGAGATATCAGACAATAAATAGGGTTGTTTTTGTTTTTCAAGGGTGGGGTGTGTGTGTCTGTGTCTGTGTCTTAGAGGGAAGGAGCCAACAGATAGGAAAGGGAGGGGATGGAATCAAAGGTCCATTACCAGAGTTTGCCCTGGCAAGGAGATGGACCACCTCTCCATCAGCCAGGGGTGAGAGAAAAGGCGATGGAGAAGGATGTCTGAGTGACCTGAGACGAGGGTGAAGAGGACGAGGGAGCCATCAGAATGCTCAGAATTTTTTCAGAGAAAGTGGGGTCCTCAACAGAGAAGGTATGGGAGAGGGTATGGGGAGGGAGTACAGTGGCAACTTGAGGACTAAGGAACAAGTTTGAAATAGCTGCCAGGAAAATAACATGTACTGTATAGGTGTATACACACACACACACACACACACACAGAAATATGCAAAACACCTTAGAAGCAGATCGAAGGGGGTGAGGGGGTGGCACCTGCTTATACCAAGAAAGATCTAATGAAGACAGAGGAAATTGAACTAAATCTTGAAAGACATCAGTGACTTCCAAGAGTTAGAAATAAGAAGGGAGGTCATTCCAAGCATGAGGGCCAACTTCCTTCCCTTACTCCCCCCCCAAAAAAGCACAGAATTAGTGAGTAGCAACATTTATTAAGCAAGATATAGTGTCATGGGTGAGAAGCAGCCAATAGACAAGTATTTTCTGGACCATAGATTGTGTAAAGAGAAGTAGTTGATAATAAGACTAAAAATCCAGATGAAGCTAGGTTATAAAGAGCTTTAAATGACAAACAGAAGTTTATTTTTGATCCTATGTAATAGGGAGCCACTGGATTTTTTTTTTTAATTGAGGGATGTTATAGACTTGAGCTTTGGGAAAATTACTTTGCCAGTTGTGTGGAGAATGTATTGAAGTAAAAGATGTATTGGATGTGAGGCAAAACTTGTTAGGAGGCTGTTTTATTAGTCCAGATGAGAGAGGATGAAGTCCTAAATTAGTGTGATGGCCTTGCAAGTGGAGAGAAAAGAATATATAGGAAAGATCTTGGTAAGATGGGAATAACAAGATGTGGCATCTGTTTAGATACATTAGGTGAGTGAGAGTGAAGAGTCAAGTATGACACCTAAGTTGCAAACTGGGGTAACTAGATGGATGGACGGTGACACCTTCAAAAGTAATGAAGAACTTCAGAAGGGGACTGGTTTGGGTAAGAAAGATAATGAATTCTGTTTTAGCCATGTTGAGTTTGAAATGTCTGCACAAAATCCAGTTTCACCTGTCCAATAGTAGTTGGTGATGTGGGACAGGAACTCACAAGAAAGACTAGGGCTGGATATATGACTCAAGAAAGGCTTCTGTAGAAACTGACACATGAACTTCCTTGAAGGAAGCTAAGGATGCTAAGAAGCCAATAGGAGGAGGAAATTCATTCCAGGAATAGGAACAACCTGGCTTCAAACATATGAAATCATCAAATCAGGAGCAAACTATGCCAGAAATCCATCAAGTGAGAATTATTTTCTTTGCCATTGTATTCTCTTCTAGCTACATACTGGGCTGGTGGAAGAAAAGGGGAGCAGAAATTTTTCCAGTGGAACTATGTGTCCCCCAGGCAGGTTGACTAAGAGAATGGTGAGCACAACAGGAAGTATGTTCCTTTCTTGCTGTGATCATGAGGGCAGAATGGCTAAACATGGGTCCTGGGATAGACAAATGCCTGGGCAACAATAAGACCTGAAGATGTGGATTCTGACACCTGGGAAACGAGTTTTCTCTGCTCCCCTCCCCAAAACCTATTCTCTAATTTCTTCTTTCTGTCTCTCTCCCGTCCAATTTCCTCATCTTTTCTTCATCTTCTCATTCTCTACTTAGCCCTGTCAGCCCATCTTGAGTGGGAAGTAGTGTGGGAGTGAGAATGCTTCCTTATCACCTCTTGTCACTTAACACAAAATGCATTTGTCCTATATGGGAAAAAGTTTTGTTCCATCTGGTGAGTAAGTGTCTTACAAGTCTGGGGAATCCTGAGGTTCCAGAAAGTTATTAAATGACCTGCTGAGCATCACAGCATCAGAACCAGCTTCAGCCTCAGACCTCAGGATGCTCAGCCTGGCATTCTGGCCCTGCGCCACACAGGTGCCCACACCTCTACTGTGATGAGGGATGGGGTTTATTTCTTATTTCTCTTTTGAATGGCTTTGAGCAGATATTTCGTTCTCTTTTCTACATTGCTTACTAATTTCTTCTTCAGCTAAATGGAGATGTTCAAATAATTTGGGTCTGTAGAGGGAGACCCTTGGGCTTGTGTCATTTTTTATTCCTTAGCAGTCTCTTACAGTCCTACTGAATCTTTTGCTTTTTCTGAAATGCCAATCCTTAGGGTAGAGGAGGGAAAGCATTTTTTTAAGCATTTAATGTACCAGATACTGTGCTAAGTACCTGAGATACAAGTACAATTCGAATAGGAAGTGACAGCACATGTAGAAGTGGTTGCCAGGGAAGAGTATGTCTCTAGGAATTCACAGGAATACCCTGGAAGAGGGGGAGAAAAGATAGGTTGGTAGTATTGGTATTGATTTGATTACTAAGCCTGGAACAAGAAGAACTTTCACGGGTATGATGGAATAGGAGGATGGATAGCAAAATTGGAGGAGGGAAGGATGGATGGATGTAAATCATGATCTGGGCCTGGCTAGGTATTGTGGACTTGGTTTGTGCTTACTTGTCCCCCAATCAAAACAGTTTGACTCAGAATATGAACTCCAAAGGTCGGTGGACTAATTCCCATAAGAAGTAAAGTATTTTTCTGGCTCTCCACTCTGAGATGATGTGCCACGTCAATAAAAGGAAGGCAACAGCAAGGGCCAAAAGAAGATGGTGGAGATGAATGACGATATGGAATGTGAAGTTCCAATGCTACATCCATACAATGTTTTTTTCTGCTTCTTAAAAATGATTGCTTTTCATTCACATTTTAGTTAATGTAGTCTGTGATTAGCCTGAGAACCACAATTTGTATCCCTATTTTCATAGGAAAACATGTTCAGTGTTCCTTATAAAATTTATGATAATTACTTATTTGTAAGTTGAGTCATTTTCAGAGTGTTTTAGGCATCCAAAGACCAACTTCAATTGAAAATGAATTTTTCTTAATGACAACTTTTTTTTTCCTCTTTACTAAATTTATAATTCCTACGTTTTCTTTGGCTCTCCCATTTTTACATTTTGAGAAATGGATTTTTATGTTCTGTATTTGGCTTTCAGAGAGCAAAAAGGACAATCCTTAAATATAAAAGCTATGAATGGTCGTTGCTGTGAACCTAAGAATAAATGGAATTTTTGGCTGAGATCTATTAAGTGACTTGTGCTTGCTATTTATAGACCATTTTTAAATTTATAATCCACACAGATACACAGAAGAACATTTTGTGAGGCAGAAATTCTATGTGGGAGTGGTCAGAGTAAAGAATCAGAGTTTTCCATTTTGCTTTTTATATTCTTGAACTCTGATTGAAGGTATAACAAGTTGAGAGAAAGGATGGCTGACAACAGATTCTTTTATGTTATTTTTATTCATTATTTATTGTTGCCAAAGAAGTGAGTAAAGCATTTATAATGTGTTTTTCCACTGTGTTTAGGTATATGTCTCGAGTCCATGGTATGCATCCAAAAGAGACAACCCGACAGCTGAGCTTAGCAGTGAAAGATGGTCTTATTGTGGAGACCCTAACTGTGGGCTGCAAGGGTTCAAAAGCTGGTATTGAACAAGAAGGCTATTGGTTACCAGGAGATGAGATTGTGAGTATAATTTGGTAAATCTCACCACATTTCTGTATATATATTGACTTAAAATATTTGAAAAACTTTTGTTTAATCATTGTTAATTTAGATGCAACTTGTGGAAGTAAAGATTTTTCATAAATTTACTATTATTTAAACGTGTGAAATTGAAGAGACTTTTCATCAAAATTAAGAACCTGCATCAGTAGCTTTGACATGTTCCTTGGTTATCTTTCAAGAATTACTGGTTTTTTAAAAGAAAAAACCTGCTTATTGAGTTTATAAAATCTACAGAAAGAAAAAGACTTCCTTTTTGAAAAGACATTTTTTTTCCTTAAAAAAAATATACCTCTTTGAATTAAAGGTTTCCACGTGAGGCCATCTGCAATTAGTAGCCTTTGAAAAATGTTTTCTTTCAGGAATTATATGTTTGAATCAAAGACTCAGGTTGACAATTTGATCGTTGAAAAAGATTGGATCTCAGAGGAGTGACTCTAGGGCCTAATTAAGGGTTTCAGGTTGAATTTTGGTACTAAGTAGAAAGAATCCATATGTTAATTTTTTCCAGACTATTACCTTAGTGAACTAGTGATTCTGCCTTTTTTTGTGGCATGTGTACAGAAATCAAAATAGAAAGGCTAGTAAGTTGTTCTGTTCTATTTTTATCTTGTTTTATTTTTAGACCTTCATCTACTTGTATTATATTATAAACATCCAGTTTATCTGCTTATTTTGCTTCAATGATTATTCTTAGGAGTAATTTTTCTTTTTTTTCTTATATAAAATTGATTTTTAGTAAGTGTTTCTAATTCCTTGTTTCAGTCTCTCATTATTCAGATTTCTGGTATGGAAATTCCTTTGTTTTGAAAGGTACACTGCTTTAAAATGATAGTTTCAGAATATGCCAGATTTTAAAATCAATTGAATTTGATAGGGGCTTAATTATTTGGGTATCATATAGTGTTTTTAAATTAGTTCGTGAAAGCTTCAAATTAAAAGCCAAAAACATAATCTTCACTGCTCCTATTTTAAGGTGTATTCAAGGAAAAAAATGTTTTATATTCTGTTTTCTTGCTTTATTACAACCGTGAGCTAGTAAACATAGGGACTTAGAGCTGTGTCCTTTTCCTAGCTCCTCACTGGGAGTTAACTAACAAATACTGTTTCAGAGTCATGCTGGTTCACAAAAGCAACTATTTTGGTTGGACAGAGTTATAAAATTGGATAAGTAGCACTTTGTTTATGTTAGTTGAGTTGTAAACATAAGAAAATTCATATTCATGAGGGAGAAAATTGAAGAATAAAAGAATATTTAATTGTATGGTGATGTCAGCATTAGCCATACTAAAAAAAATCCTTTCTTATTTGTGTACTTTATAAAAATAAAAATGTTTTCAGTGAAATTATTTTTCTTAAAACATAATGAACTCACTGTCGCAAACTATTTAAAAGAAAAAGATTGATTTTTATAATTTTATGGTCAAAATATATTACAAAATTATTACTCTAGATAATAAAGGCTTTCAGCTACTCTGAAACACATAACATATTGTGTTCTATTACTCAGCGATTATTTTTATTATAACTGCATAGGAAGTTGTCATCAACTGCTGTAGTCCACAGACATAATCCTCAGGATCTAAGTTTATGGATCACCTGGACATTCCTTCATAAAAGCTGTTTCTCTGGAGGCGGCCAGGTGGCGCAGTGAATATAGCTCAGGCCTTGGAGTAAGGAGGACCTGCGTTCAAATATGATTTCAGACACTTGACACTTACTAGCTGTGTGACCCTGGGCAAGTCACTTAACCCTGATTGCCTCACCAAAACAAAACAAAAGCTATTTCTTTGTTTGGCTGCCAGTATAACTTATATCTCTAGCCTTTTGATCTCTGATGAACATTTTTATGCCTTTGTTCTGCCTCTATAAGTTATTTACTTCTCCTTCTGTGCTTTGTTTTCCTAAATGCTTTCATCCTTCCTAGGTTATTGGAGTTTTGTTTTTTTGTTGTTTTTTTTTCAGTTTTGTTCCACAGATATCCTACTATGTGCTCAGCAGTATAGTAGATGGTTTATCTTATTCGTTTTATATTTTTATTTGTTGTTGATTCATATTTTACAGCAGTAATTTTTTAACCGTTTATTATGAGTTTTTCTCCCAAAGAGTTTTTATGAATTCCTGTTAAATCAAAATCTGTTTTTATGTAATAAGCATTTAATCTTCCCACTGTTTTGTTAATCCACCTATGCTTTCATATTTAATGAGTTATATCAAAACATGGTTATGTACTTGTATCAAATTTATTACCTAGTATGGAAAATGAATATTTGTGAAAAAAATCATTATGTGGGATAAATCATTATATGGGATAAAAAGAGCTAAGTCTAATGTTCGAAAGTCACATAAATTCTTACCAACTACACAAGCATAATCACCAGAAAGGGTCCTCTTTATATTTTGTCAATTCTTAGAATATAACATAAATTTATAAAAGTACATACATAGAGTACACTTAATAAAGAGTAGTGAAAATTTCTGTGTGACTTACAGAATGCTTTTTAATAGTTACATGATACTTTTTAGTTACACTTCATGTATGATACTGATATATAACAAGTATCTTGGTTAGCTCTGTAACTGGAATATTTAAAGTTAAGAGATTGATGTGATAGCACATTTATGGCTTAGATTCTAACCCTCCTCCATAAGAAGTAGAAGATACAGTCAGGTGGATATGATGTGACATTGGGAGGGTCAGCCAGGACTTTATCTATTTGTTGTTTGTAAACTTTTTAAAAGTCATAGTACCTTTCAGTCTAGCAGAGGTCCATAATAAAGAGGAAACACTTTTTTTCTCCACCTTAAACTCTAAGCTGAAAGTGGGGAAGGGAAAGATTATCTCCTTCCTTCAGTCCCTGCCATTTGTATCTGGGATACTTTAGGTGGAATAAGACAGCAGGGAATTTATTTTTTTGACTTACTCATCCCAAGAGACTTTTGTTGACAAAGAGAACATCCATTAGTGATTCTGTGGGTCAAACAATGCAGGCAACATTCCCACTTCAACAGACAATCCATTTATAAAATGTTTCCTGTGTATAAGACGTTTGAACATATGTTCCCTGCCTATACTTTCTTGTGGGCAAATGGTTAAAGTATTTTTTAAATTTAAGAAGAATATTATCTTTAAATATCAGTGTTTTAAATTATGTCAGTATCATATCAGTCTTCCTAAGACCACCTAGCTGCCCCTGGACATTTACTTTCTATAACTTTTTTTTTAAAAGACTTCCCTCCAACATATGGTTTTTGAGTTTGTTTGTTTTTTTTCAACTGCATGGTGTACTAGATAGAGTGGAGGACCTAGGTTTGAATCCTCTTTTTCATACTTATGAACCATATGACCATGAACAGGTTACTTAATTTATTTTAGCCTCAGTTTCCCCATCTATAAAATGGGGATTGTAACGCCTATAATATCTCACAAGATGGTTGTGAGAATCAGACGAGATAATTTATGTACGATACTTTGAAACTTTAAGGCTTTTTGTAAATACTTGCTATTTTTTTTTAAATACTGATCCTGTGTGCACCAACTCTTTCTTTTATAGGAGCAGATTTACTATGATGAATATTTTCTAGTCTGGTATAGCATTGACATTATCTTTTGTAAGGAAGAAAAAAATTTAAGGAGATAATTATCTATATTGGTAAAGACTTAAGAGTTAGGAATTTAGAATTAAATTCTTATTTTCCTTCATCTGATGCTTTAGTAGGAAAAGAAGGCAGTGCTGCTGAGGTCTGTAGTAATTGAGCAGCTGCAAACAATAACCTCGAGTACTACACTAACATTAGCCTCTCTTCCGTGCTGGAGCTGCCCATGGCCAGCACATAAAAGGAGAGATGGTCAGGGCTCTCCAGTGCAAGTGCTTGAAACTCGCCTTCATGATACTGCTTATATAGACCTTTATAGACAAAAAGGAGCCAATATAGATTGGACTTGGTTGCAACAGAGCAGCACAACCACAGTTTGGTTTTTCCTGGGTGTGTTTCCTTCCGTGTCTTGAGATACTTTCCTGTTTGTGCTCTGTTGCATTTCCAAAAGGGGTATCATGCGCCAGCCTAGCTACCCCATTGCCTGCAACACACACACAAGGGATTTGGCCGTCATATATTTTGTTGCCTAGTCAGCAATAATCATCTCCTTGATACCTTCTTCTGAGTTGTTACCTCTCCCTAGGTTGTATCGGTGTTGAGGGATGCTAACAATGAAGAGTTCACAATACACTTTCACCTGCTGTAACAGCCTGCTTTTCTTTTTTCCTTTTAGAAAAATCTAAGTAATACAAGAGTTATGCTACAATTTATCTCATAGGCTTTGCAGAGTAGCAACATTCTGGTGTATCACATAGCCAGCCATCAGCAGCCAGAAGTTTTTCATCCAAGCCGAAGAAGGGGACCTGTAGTGGCTAGAGTACTGGACCTGGCATCAAGAAATTAAGTTCAAATCTGGCCTCATACTTTTACTAGCCTTGTGACTCTTGGACGAGTCATGTAACCTCTGCCTGCCTTAGTTTCCTTCTCTATAAAGTGAGGATAATAATGGCACCTACCGTTCAGGGTTGTTAATAAGGAGAAAATGAGATATCTATAAAGTACTTTGCAAACCTTAAAGTGTTACATTATAAATTCTAGCTAGTATTACTGTTTTTTTCTTAAAACCCTGTTGCTTCCCATCTCATAAAGTGTCACTACATCAGCCATTCAGTTAATGAGATTATTCCTTAGGCAGAATTTTCCATCATCAGCAGAGTTTGAATTCAGGGTTTTCTTTGGAGTAGCTATTTCTGTTAAAAAAAAATAGCCTCATCTCTTTGAGTTCAAAATGAAGATATGAAATTTTTGCAATCAATGGGCAGTGAGATTTCCTTATACTGTTGTGTAAGGTAATATATAAGATAAGCCAGTTTTGATTTTGACCACTCACTGTTATAGCATGTTTTAACTGACTGGATCTGGGAATCAGTATAGTTAATGTCATCTGTCTGATGACCACTGTATTGTTACAGTACAGAGTATAGCCTGCAATTTTGCAGCAATTTTGTTCATCTATTATTAAGCAAAGTAAAAATCAGAAAACAGAAAATTCATTTTGAATGTTAATTTTGAAATTGATCAAAATGTAAATTGACCATTGCTATAAATCATTTCCCCATTTACTTACCTGCCAAACCTGAACTCAGGGTCTCTTGTTTCTTCTTTCATAGTTGATGTCACTACAAAAATAATACAATCAGGGAATGTAGCTTACGTTTTCTGTTGGAATGCTTCCACCAATTTGTTTTGCTGCTTATGATTCAAGAGAAACTGGAAACTTAAACTCAGGTCTTGGCTGTTAAGTTCTTCTACTTCAATTTGAATACTTTCTTTCCACTCAATCCTGTTTGTATTGCCTGGTAAGCAGAATTTCATACTATTTTAATACCCAAACATATATAGCTACTTTTTACATGAAATGGTGAAATTAATTCTTTATTCTTTTGCTCTAGATTTCTGTCTTTTTCTAAATTCTGTTACTCTGATAGCATAGTTAGAAATATTTTTTCATCAGATTCATGTACTTTCATGAGAAATTGAATACACTGAGACAAAAGTGAATACAAAACAGTAAATTATAGAGATCTAAATTTATATTGTAGCTATGATTGAAAAATACTGGTAAGGCAGTATGACAGTAGAGAGGCCAAGTTTGGAAACAGGAAGACCGATTCATGTTCTGCTTCTCACATAACTACCATGACCTTGGATTAGACACTTAACCACTCAGTTCTTTAGGCAGCTCTTTAATCTTATAAATTAGAAAAGAATTGTATGTCTGCATAGTTTTTCCCTAGGAGTTTCATCCACTGATGCAATCACAGAGCCATACCCACCCAACCCCACTCCATGAAAGAAAAGAAAAATAATGTATTCAGTACATGTATTTAATAATATCATCTATATATTTTATACATACATGTATTTATATGTGTATATATTTGTTTATTAAGGAAAGCTGAATAAAATTGAAACCTCCTTTTCACACCAAAGCAATTGGCTATGTGAAAAGAGCACCAAACTTAAGAGACCTGGGATTCTAGTCTTGGCTTTTTCCACTAATTTGCTTTCTTAACTCTGGGCAAGTAATTTTATGTCATTATTCTTCAGTTTCCTTAAAATGAAGCTAATAGTGTCTGACCTTAAAAATGTTAATGAGATGTAAAGGATTACTATAAACAGGGTACATGGTTTTACAAATTGGTAATCAGTCCTTTGGGCTTTGTGATCAAGTAGTAGATTTGTGGCACACTAACCGATTTAGATATCTAGACTACTGCTGAATTATGGAAAATTTTAATCCTTAATAAATTACAAATTTTTGTTGAAGTGCTGAGGTCATTTTCATGTTATATCAGTCCCATTTGTATTTAATAATATTTAGAGCAAATTTTAGATCTTTAAGACTCATTTTTCTTTTCATTGAAGTTTTTTTTAACACATTCGATTTTATAATGAAAATAAATGTATTGGTCAATATGATTTTTTTTCTGACATAACTAAAGGATTTGCTGTGCACTAAGAAAAAAATCTTAATTTTTGTGTTTATAAGAATAGCTTAATCCCTTTTAAACCACTATAAATATTTGTTTGTATACTATTACCTTTTCATGAATGGTAGTTTAAAATATGGGAAGATATAAAAATATGAAGTAATTTGCTTAAATTTGTAGTAAAAATTGTATATCAGTATTGTATCTCAGTACATTTATGTATATGAATTCCTTTGTGTAACCCTGTGTATATTGTGGATGCCAAGCAGAATTGTAGAATATAGGTAATAATTTTTTTTTGTCTTTGTCTTAAAAGTCCTATATTAGGATATCTTTCTTCAAGACAACACCCCAAAAAAGTGAATTCCCTTGGCACTCTGGAGTGTGTCCTGAATTGTTTTATTTCCCCTATACATTTCTGTGTTCTATTAGGATAATTTAGATCACTAGATCTAGAGTAAGTTCTTAAAACCCTCCTATTATCACCTGGCTTCCAGTTTTGAAGGACAGTATTCCTGTCTGCTCTTTTACAAATGGAAGCAAGTTACCCCATGCTTTGCTTTTCTGGGTTCCTTTTAACCAAGTTATGGAGTAGCTGGTGACATCTGGTGGAACATACTGAAAGTACAACTTAACTTGTGCTTACATGTGTTGAATTTTAGGTCTGAACATTTTATCCAGATTTTGTTACTTAACTCTTTTCTTCTATAAGGTATATTATAAGCATCTCTACTTAGATTATACATGCTTATTTCTTTTGTCATTTAGTAGACTTTATGTGTTTTTTTATATGAAGAAACAACCCTTTTGGAAAATGCTAGAGTGTGTTTTCAATTGCTATGTTGAGATTGAAGATAGACTTTAGACCATACAAATTTTGCCAGGAGGCAGTGAGATCCTTACATGCAACATCTCTGTTCCTCAATCAAGAGCCATTCCTGTAGTACTTATTGTGTGCCAGATAACTGTGCTAGCTGCTGGGCATACAAAAGCAGAAAGACAGACAGTCTTTGCTCTAAAGGAGCTTCTAGACTGTCTGAGAGATCAGCATCTGAAATAGAAGCAGATACAGAATTCTTACAGAATCACTGCCTCATCAGCCAGGAAAGGCTCCGGAGGGGTTCTCGGAACCTGAGACGTGGGGGTGATGCATCCCAGGCACAGAGGATAGCCAACACAGAGACCAGAGGAACAGCATGCTAGACCAGTGAGGAAAATGGCGCAGAATGAGGCAGAACAGGTAGATCAGTATGTCCAGAAGTTTATATTTGGTTCTAGAGCTAATAGGAAACTCTTAGATTTTTTTGAGAGACAACTTGATCAGACCTGTGCTTGAAGCAAATCACTTTGGCAACAGAGTAGAGGATACATAAAATAGACAAATTTCTACGTATTTGCCCAATCTTGAGCTATCCCATTGTAGTGTATCTTGATTATCACACTTTAATTTTGTGTTATGAAAAATTGGATCTAAAACTAACCATATTCTTATGTTATTTCTTTTGGGGAAGACTTTTTTTTTCCTCTTGCTTTCTTCCATTAAGTAGCCTGAGTTCTGTTGACTGCTATTTTGACTATTATATGAAAATCACTTCTTGATTTTAAAAAATTGAAAAATGTGTAAATAAAGTGAGATCACAATGCGCTGTTGCTTATACTAAGCCAAATATGTAATACCAAAATCATATAAAAATTTCTAAACCACCATGAATAAAATATTCTGATCTTTTTCAAATTAAAAAAATTTAAGTTAAAATTTACAAAATATCTGCACAGAAGCTTAAATTGTTAGTAGTTGTTTGTGGAATGGAAAACAGTAAAAGAGTTTACTAATAACAACTTTCTTTACATATCTGAAAAGGTTATTTATGTGTCATATGGTTTCAAGGAAAATGAGATGAAGACTCATCATATAATTTATCAAATCTTCTTATTCTAGGAGTGGTGCTACTCATGGTAAAACAGTTAATGGAGTTGAGGGAAGAGAGTTCAGTTCCACAAAACAAGAGTGCAAATTACATCATCACTGTCTTATAGAGATTATTTTTATTAAGCACTTGAAACAATATTTGTGAAAAGAGAGAAAGCTGGATGGAAAGAAAATGCAGAGAACGTCTGTGTACTAACAATTATATTTATTTACATCCAAAAATATCAGTAGTAAGACTCAGCTCTAAAAAGTGCTACATTTAAACATGCATTTTGGCAAGCTTTTTGTTTTTAGTTTTTTAACTGTATTCCTTCAAATTCAGATTCAGAATTTAATGACATAATCAAAAGTGTATATGCTAGTTAATGGTGAGTTAATTAAATTAGTTTGATAGTTGTTTAAATAAAATAATTCCAATATCATGAAAGAATATAGGGAAGATCATAATTTGTCACTGATTATCATCTCTTGGGGCTCACATTATTCTAGGTGCTTAACAAACTTAATAGTTTGTTCATTAAAACAAAGCCTCTGATGATTTAGTTAGTCAAAAAACATCTATTAAGCACCTGCTGTGCAATAGGAATTCTGCTAAGTTCTGGGAGTACAAGTTAAGACAAAAGTATTGATAAATTAACTTATAATTTAATACATTAATAATTATTAACAAATTGATCATTGCTTATATAAAAGTTGGGTGGTAGATAATTTTATAGCTTTGGATATAAATTAAATTTGGATTGGTTTTGAAATTTTATCTTCATTGATAGTGTTTAGGGCAGCATTTTAAAAAATTATTGAAGTCTTAAGATTCTAGATTTTTTTAAAAAATTTAATAAAAATCAAATATGGTGAATATTCATATGCTTAAATTGTTTTACTTAAGGGCTTCAAAATTTTAATTTTATTCTGTATTGTTGAAGATATCAACTAAATATTACACCCAGTTTTGTTTTTGTTTTTGTTTTTTTTTTTGTAGGACTGGGAAACAGAAAATCATGACTGGTATTGTTTTGAATGCCATTTGCCTGGAGAGGTATTGATATGTGACCTGTGTTTTCGTGTTTATCATTCCAAGTGTTTATCTGATGAGTTCAGGCTTAGAGACAGCAGTAGCCACTGGCAATGTCCAGTTTGCAGGGTAAGTATCCCTGAGCTTTAATGTGCTGTTTAAAAGGTTGACTTCATTGATAACTACATTAAAGTGTCCCAGATGGTCTGGCTAGATTAATGAATAAAATAATGATATATTGCCTATTAAAATGCTGATAAATGCAAAGAGTATAAATTTGGATATTTCTGAATACTGAAATTATTCTAGGGTATTGCCCATGGGGACTTTGAGTCATCTTAAACAGTACACTGCCTTCTCTTACTCTAAATTTGCTTCCTATTTGTCACAGTTCAAGGAATGGATGGCCTTTGGGGTCCAAGCAGTATTGTGTCCTCCCAGATTCTCTTCCATAAGTATTTGATTCTGTATTTCAAAATCTGTGCCATCCAGAGAAACATACTACCAAGACACAGTCTCAAAAATAGAATGCTTTATTTTGTTTTCATTCTTCCCTTTTTTATCTACATCCATTTATTTTTGTTAGATGTTGAGTCAGCTTATTTTCTTTAAATTCTATCTTGAGAAAGGTAGCAGGGCAAGAACAATTGATGTTAAGGATCACAGGGCTTTTTTTTTTTACTATAAAAATAAATAGTATTCACAATTCATTTTATTTATTTTCCCAACCCAGTTAAAATATGCTTGCTATAATGGTAGGTGGGTATAAAAGTGATATATGATTGTTATATATTTAAATTTAATATTTAAAGAATGTTTTTGATGGATACCTGAATTGTTCATGGTTACTCAGTATACTAAAACATCTGGCAGCTTATAGATTACCCAAATTACTTGTGTAGCACTTCCATATATGTTATTGACTCTATTAGATAACTCTATATGTTTGTTTATTCTTTTAATATTTCCCACCTTTGACATCACAACGACTTCCTGAAAGAATTGTAGGCCAGATCTAGAATATATGCTCTACTCTTCTTCACCATCTTTGAATCCCTGTGTATTATCCTATTGCCACTATATTATCTTAGTGACACTGCTATGCAATTTAAATAGTATAACCCAATAAGACCTATGGAAAATAAATATTAACAAGGATTTATTACTTACGGAAGTGTTCAAATGCCATCATTTAAGTGGCGCAAGTATGTATATATGTATATATGTATAGATGCTCAAGTTACTTAACTTCCTGGCCTGAGTTTCTTCAGAGGGCTATAGATGAGATGACCTCTGAAGTTCCTTCTTGTTCTGTCCCTGTTATTATGAATGTGTCTGTCCAGCATAGTAACTGTTTCAACCAATGGTATGTATATTCATATTAATTAAACAGAGTACAGCATTAAGACATGTTCACTTTCATACATTTGGTTATATTTCATATATCATTCTCTTCAGGCCATCATCCTGGTATAAACAGCAAAGAAAGTTCCTAAGATAGTCAAATTAGGGGAAGACAAACAAGGATGTCAATAGTCAAAGTTATGTCTCTCAGTTCAGAGTATTTTGTACTAATAATACCCCAGAGGTTTAACAAAGAAAACTAAAAACCCAAAAGAAGTCACTAGTGCAAAGATCCCTAAGATTAGAGTCAAAAGGACTTGAGTTCCAGCCCCAGTTTTAACTTGTGCAAGTCACCTCACCTGTAAGCTTCAGTTTCCTTGTCTTTACATTGTAGATAATCTTTTGCTTCCTACCTTATAGGATTGTTAAGAGAAAGATGCTTTTTTATAAACCATAAAGTCCTATGTAAATGAGTTAATGTTTTTAATGTATAACATTATTTTTGACTGACTTTTAGTGGCCAAATAATTTTCAATAAAATATAGTGAGCCATAAAGCTTTTAATTCAAAGTTGTTTTTAAAATTCCATTCAAAATGCCTCATATCTCATATTAACAATTATTTAGAACTGAAGTAGACCTTGAGGGTCATCTTATCCAACATTTTCAGTTTACATATGAAGAAACTGAGACCCAGAGAGGTCAAGCAATTGTATAGGATCATAGTTTTAGGGTGGAAGGGGACCTTAGAGGCCTCATCCCTTCATTTTATAGATGGGGAGCTGAAACTCTTAACAAGTTAAGTGACGGGGTTATACAAGTGATAAATAGCACAGAAAGGATTCAAACCAAATCCTCTGACTACTTTTTTCTCTACCATGCTACTATATCCATCTGTCCATATACCCCTCTCCTCCCTATACCCCTCTCCTCCCTATATACTCAGTTATTTCTGAAGACATTTGTTGATGACTTCCATTGAAACTGGTTACTAAATTTTTTCATTCAGTTCCCTGTAAGTGCTAAGTAGCTTTTTTGTGATTTGAATAATCGTTTTTACTTCGCAGTTCATCTACTGGCTCACATAGATCTTGTTATATGGCATAAAGATAGCTAGTTAATAAGATGATGTATTAGGATTGTATTACAGAGAGAATTGCTGTTCAAATACGGATTTGCTGAATGATATCTGAGGTCTCTTCTGAACCTGAGATTTTGTGAAAGTTCTATGTTCTTTCTCTTCTACCTTTTCTTGTCTGTTTACAGCCTAGAAACTTTTCAATATCTCATATACTGAAGTTCTGCAATTGACAACAAAAACTTTGAGCTAAATGTTTCTTTTGTAATCTATATTGATATTATAAAATAGAAATATCCAAAAGTTTTTATTTTTCTGTGAATTATTTTATATGTGCATACATACATGTATATAAAAATTTATTTAAACATTTTCTAGGATAAAGAATTTTACCTTTAAAAATCAAGTATGCAAATATCAGCATAAAGCCTTTTAACATATATATAATGTAATAATATAAAATTACTTTGAAAATGGAGAGCTGTGGAAAAGACAGATGCATGAGAGCTGTAAATTCTTGGTTCTTACACAGAATAACTTTCTTCTATTAGGCTGGTGAAGGAAATTCTTTCCTTTTAAAAAAATAAGTTTTTATTGATGTCTTCTGTTTCATATATTATAATAGGTAACCCCTGTATATCTCCTCTTCCCCCTCTCAGAGAGCTATCCTTTATAACAAATCATTTTTTAAAGACCAAAGAAAGAAAAAAAGGGGGGGCGGAAATTAGTATTCCTGATTAATATACTGAAAAACTCTGAAAATATGTTCATTGTGTAGTATCTGTGGATCTTTCACTTCCAAGAAGGAGTGGGTTGGTAGTGTCCTCTCATATCTCTTCCTTTGAGTCCCACTTGATCTTCATAATTTTGTTATATTCACTTTCAGTTTTTTGGTGTGTGGTTCTTTCTGTTTACATTGTTGTAGTTCTGGGTTATTTTTTCTTGGCTGTGCTTACTTCACGCTGCATCCGTTCATAGAGATCTTTCTATGCTTCTCTGTATTCATCACACTCATTATTTCTTACTGCACAGTAATATTTCGTTACATTCATGCACCTCAGTTTGTTTAGCCATTACCCATTCAATGGACAACTTTGTTTCTAGTCCTTTACTGTCACAAAAAAAGCTGCCGTAAATATTTGGGGGTCTATGAAATGGGTTTCATTATTGATGGATTCCTTGGTATACAAGCCCAGTAATAGAATCTTTGATTCAAAGAGTATGAACATTTTAGTCACTTTATTTGCATAATTCTAAATTGCTTTCCAAAATAATTGTAACATTTCATGACTCCATTAACAGTGTACCAGCAATATTTTAGTATGCCTATCATTTTACAATCCCTGCAACATTGACTTTTGCCATTTTTTGTCATCTCTGCCAATTTGCAAGGTCTGAAGTGAAACCTTAGAGTTCTTTCAATGAAGATGAATTAGCTTTTGTAGTGAGAAACTTTGGAAGAAAGATGCTAAATGTTTAATGCAAAAAAAAGCATTTTGCTTAAGGAAAATAGTAATTCACTGAAATGTGAATAAACTGAAAGTAAAGTATGCTTGATAAATATTTTGAAGAAATCAAGTAATACTAATTTATTTTGAAGAGATCATGTAACAACAGTTCATCTGCATATAAAAATTGTCCTTATAATGTTGCTGAGATCATTCAGTCAGTCAACAAGCACTTAATAAATGCTTACTAAATGCTAGGCACTATATTAAGTGCTGGAGATACAAAGAAAGACAATAACCAGTCTTTGCTGTCAACAAATTCGCAGTCTAATGGAGGAGACAGCATGCAACAACGATATATAAACAAGATATATACAGGATAATTTGAAGATGTGATCACAGAGGAAAAGTACTAGCTCCCTTCTCCCTCTTAAAATGGAAAGGACAAAGGCTTTTTTAACCTAATCACAAGGGATTCTTGTAGAAGGTGAGATTTTACCTGGGATTTGAAGCAAGCCGGGAAGCAGATATAAGGAGTGATGGAATTAGAGGCATGAGGGACAGCTTTAAAAGCCAAATAGAAGATTTTATATTTGCACAGGAGATAATAGAAAGCGACTGGAGTCTGCTGTATGAGTTTGGGTAGGGCAGGAAAGGGGTGGCAACATGGTCAGAGTTAAATTCATCAACTGAGGGAAGGATATATTGGAGTGGAGAGAGACTTGAGGCAAGCAGAGCAACCAGAAGGTTATTGTAATAGATTAGCCATGAGGACTTCCACCAGGGTAGAGTATGGGCTCTGGAATCAAGAAGACTCTCATTTTCTTGAATTCATATCTGGCCACAGACACTTAATGTATGACTCTGGACAAGTCACTTAACCCTGTTTGCCTCAGTTTCATCATCTGTAAAATGAGGTGGGAAGGAAATGACAAACCACTAAACCACTCCACTGTCTCTGTGAAGAAAACCCCAAATGGGGTCACAAAGAATTGGATACAACTGAATGACCACAAAAACAAAGTACAAAGGACAGCACTTAGCAACCGATTAAGGGCAGGGGGTGGGGACTTGAGAGAGTAAAGAGTCCAAGACACCTAGGTTGTGACAGCTTGACTGACTGAAAGGATGGTGGTGCCCTCCACAGTAATTGGAAAATTAAGAAGAGGGGAAAGGTTGGAAAAAGGTGATGAATTCAGTTTTAGATGTATTGATTACAGGACATCCAGTTCAAGATATGTAAGAGATAGTTGGGAGATG